GAAGAAGGTGTAGAGAAGAGCGAAGACGCCGACACTGACGAGGTACACTGAGGTAACCATGACGACGTAGTAGACCATCTTGGTGGCGGTCTCGACTCGTCCTCTTCCGCGAGGCGGTTGGTGAGCATCTCAAAGGTTTCGCCGAGCTGCGCGACAAGGCCGCGGATCTGCGACGTCATCATCATGTCTTCGTCCTTCTCCTGCGGCTTCTCGACGTTGTACACGTCTTCGACATACGCCCACACGTCGCGCTTGACGGCCTTCTCGTCCGCACACGCCTTGGACTTTTCGAGCTCGGACGTGACCGAGTTGACGTCCGACTCGTCTTCGTTGAGGAGCTTGCCGCCCTGCACCATGTCTTCCTCGCGCTCCTTGCGCGCCGTCTCGAGGCACTTGGCGTCGTGCTTGCCAATGTCGGGCGTGTGCACCGTCACGTAGAGGAACCACGAGTCGGAGCTCTTGAGCATCTCGAGACCATAAAATGACTCGAAAATGCATTTTTCGTGTCTTCAAAATGTTGCGGCGACTAATATCGATGGATGAATGCGTTTGGTAGCCGATAAGATGGCGCGGTAGCGCCATCAAGTGCTCTCCGTAGAGAGGTAAATGCTTGGAAATGAGGTGATATTTTGTGTTTGTCTCCTGTGGTCTATATTACATGGCTCTCTGCTGCAAGCACTTTGCTAAAAGAGGCTGGTTGCTCGTGACGTAGTGCTGACTTGTGTACGCGTTGGAGAGAAGGACAATGGAGGAGACATCGCCTTCAAACGAAGCGGCTTGGCGAAGCCCGGCGGCCCAGTCGGCTGCGAAGCACCAGCCATAGAACGTCCAAGGCTCATCAAGGGAGCCGAGCAGCGGCTGTTGCAAGAGCACCCACGAGCCATTTGCTGAGGTTGCAAACTGCATAAAACCAACTTGCGTGTCCTGAAGAACCGGTGGTAATGACTGGAGCATGGACAAGAGGTCGTCTGGAATAGGTACCTCTTTCAGCCAGTTGGATGCTGCGGAGAGCGCTGTTGTACAAGGGCCTGGCGTCGAAGAGAGAGCGCAGATCGAGGTGATGGGCGTGGGTAGTATAGTAGCCGTCGTCACGTTGAGCGCCACAAGTGCAAAGAGCAAAGTGAGGGCTGTCGGCTGCAGCCGCAACGGCGTTGTCTGAGAGCAGTCGTCGTAAAAATCAAACGACTGCTGCACGTGGGGTGTACCAGAACCGAGGAGGCACATCGGGTCACCTCCGTAAAACGTATAGTCACCTCTCCACCGAGGCGGCGTCGGCGTCAAAACCACAGACGGAAGACTGGCAAACGATGCAAACCTTGCTGCCGACGTTGCGAGATGCTCCGAGACAACATCTTGGAGCCGGTTGTACGCAGCTACAAGAGTCGGTGGCCGCAGCTTGTAGCGAATGTCAATGCTGATGTAAGGACCGATAAAGGTATGAAAAACCCACGCTTTCCCGACGAGGTTGCCACGGCTGTCGGCCATGCCCCGATACGTCTCCAAGTTGATAACCGGTAATGCACTGATGTTGGCGCCAAAGTACCGACTCGTGCCCCGGACAAAGCTCCGGTTCATAAGCATCGAGTTGTACAAGTCGTTGAGTGGCATCCAAAAGAGGCTCTGGGACGACCACGGACCCGTAACTTGGTCCAGCGCCTTCAATGTGAAGCTCTGCTGCATCTTGAGCGCGTTCGAAACCACAACCGTCTCGGAGACGCCGGGTTGCCACCGACTCTGCCACTGAAGCTCAAAGATCGACAAGTTGTACGACCGCCAGTAGGTTAGTTCGTCGGCCACCGACGATGTGTTGACCGCTGTTGCCATTTGCGATAGAAACGAGCGACCTGCGATGGTTTCCTGAAGGCCGCGCTGGATCGCCACGTTGAAGCGAAGACCATTCCCAGCCCAGAG